AGACTGACAACTCTTTAAGGTTATCTCTTACACAACAAATCAGCTGTTTTAAGACAGTTTTTAGTCAAAGATTATTATTTGTGCTAGAAGTCTTAAAAAAACTTGAATTTTCCTTTTTTAAAAGTCTTTATTCCTCAAAATTTACTTTTGGCTCTTTTCAAATCTCTCAATAAACTTCATTGGTCATTTTTGAATTCAAACTTAATTTATTAAAATCTAAAAAGCCGAAAACATTGTCATTCAAACATAAGAATATCAGTTTTAAGGATTTCACTCACCAGCTATGAATGATTTTAAAGTACGAAGAATTCTTCTACAGAAGAACAATAAAATTTAATTTTATTGCATTTTCTTGGTTAAAATAATTTTCTCTTTTGCTTCCACAACATTTGTCACTACAGAAATTTAATTTACTTTACTCAGACTCAGTATTAAATCATTAAATACTTCCAAAGATAGAAATTTTACTAAAATACGAAATATATAACAAACAACTCGTAAAATTTATTGTTAAATGTCTCTAAAATAAAATGAAGAAAAGTATTGTGTCTAAAGACAGAAGAAATGATTTACTGATCATGATGAGAAAGTATGAAAATGTTAAGGTCTTTAAAAAACTTAAAATCTACTATCGAGTCACGAATTCATCGTAAATTATAAAAGAAAATACTTTTTCCTTTTACTGCATCGTGCATGACAAATGGGCAATTAATTTTTAAGAAACAAAAAAGAGATCTGAAAATGACAAATTTCCATCGAATAGATCAACAACGTCGTAGAGAAATAATTCATTTTACGATCAACACAAAACACGATCATTAAATTTTGTTTCTTCTTTCTTCTTTCGCATTTATAAGAAAAACACGCTTACAAAGTTAATAAAATAGATGAAAATATTTCTTAAAACAATTGCTTGCGCTTCACAGTAGATAGAGAGCATTTGCAATCGAACCAGACTACTTCAAGGTTTGTTTACATAACAATTTTTTCTACTCGACGTCGGCAGTTAAAAAGGAGTAATAAAATGTAATAAAAGTAAGAAATTAAAACAAGTAAATTTTTTAAAACTCTCAGTGGACCTCACAAGATGCTCATTGTGCTTATACAGATTTCGAGATTAAATTATTAATTTTGTTTATAAAAGATTTTTAACACGTCGCTAGAGAAGGAAATTCGTAGATATCTTATAACTACGTCTAAAGACGAATAACATCCATAGCACTAAACAGAATAAATTACTCTTCCAACCCTTTCACATAATCCACTTCGTTATCTCACCTACAAGAATTTTTCACACAAACACAACTTCAACTAAACAAAAGTGAAAGAAAATTGAGGAAAAACTACTCACATGTTGAGCATATTCTCTCAGCAAAATAGAACCTCTCATCGTCATCATCATCATTTATCGTCATCGTGTGCTCACCGAAACGCATATTCCAGTTAGGTTGATGACGAAAGAACTGAAAGGCAAAATAGAACAGCGTGAATACAACAACAAAAAATTATGTGAGAATGAAAAGAATAATTTTCTGCTTCGGAAAAGCAGCATTTTCCACAAAAACCCCCGGCATGTTTTCTCTAATTAATGTTGTACATATTATTATCATGTGTATTTGCTCCCTTTTATATACTCTCCGGATTTTATATTTTATGATTGCGCACTCACATGATGATGTACACATTGTTGTATATACAATAAGCAGGCGAGCAATAGTGGAAGCTATAACACATATCTCCAATCCATGTATATAAATATATATACACACAAAATTTCTATACATATAGTCTTTTTGGGACGTGTAAAAGGGTTTTTCTTCTGGTTTTCGGTTGTGCAGAAAATAGTTTCACTCTCAAATTATCGGAGATCGGTAGTTGAAAAATATAAATTTTAATGCTCGCAAGCATCGAAGGAAAATTCTTTTACAGGCACAAAATAACTTCCATTTCTCGACGGTATTCTCGCGTGCTTGCATTTCATTTCAACCCGCAACATTTAATAATAATAATAATACAATAAGTAGTATCGAATGTGTAGTACACATATAAATAAAAGAATAGTAACATATATTGGTGAAATATAAAAAGATATATAAAATATTTTCCATGGGAAAAATATCGAGTGAAAGTGCTTAATAGGAAAATTGATGTGCTATCGTGAGCGTGCAAATAAAAAGAATAGAAAATATAAAGAATTTTGACGTGTAGAAATTTCCTATCCATACGTAAATTCTTTTTTTAACTTTTAAATCGTGCCACATACAACCGAAAACCAGAAAACGCGTGCAGGAAAAATTAAAAAGGATTTTCATTCCTTCTCCTACTGTTCTTGCCGCGTCTCGCGATATATATAATATATATTTTTTTTCTGTTTTGGGCTTGAGGCTTTTCTGGTTTGCCGATTATTTGCGGATATCGTGGCACTTGGGCTTTTGTGTGTGTGTCTGTGATCACTCAGAAAATAATAATATTATTTTGACTGAACAGGAAGTGATGAAACTAAAAAGTTAAAAAAAAACTATTGTGGAATAGACAGAAAATAATATAAAAAGTAAATTGCTTAAATAGTTTTGTTGAGTCAGTGGATGAGCCATAAAACACGCAAATTTTCATTTCATTCAAATTAATTAATTAAAAATCTATTCAATTATTGAGTGTGGCTGCATTTTAATGTCTACATCCCTCAAAAAATTTACATACGAATGTAAAACCTGACGAAATGGAAAATTTAATCCTTTTAGATTGCTTGCATGACATCGTTTCTATGAAGCTTTTTTAAAATCATAGCGCAAAAATGAATTTTTTCGTGTGGAATCATTAATTATACCAGAAATACGTTCATCAAAACACCGCCACAAAATTGACAAGGATCTTAAACTAATTGATGTGTTAAAAACATCACACAAATGTCAATTAAATCAGTGATTATAAAAAAAAGTAAAATATAAATTAAATCACATTTAATTTTGTCCATTTTGAGGGAACGAGACGAGATGAATGATTTTAAAATTGAAACTTTTTTTTTTGACTGTAGAAAAATTGCAAAATGTGCAATGAAATGAAATTCAATCAATTTACGCTTCAAATTATCGATAATATTGTGTTGTGTGGATGCAGTCTGTTTTAATTGTGTGCTGGACAAGGATGATTAAACCAGTGAATTGTTTTAAATGAAATTGATTTTGAGATTGATCGATCTTTAATTCATTTCTAATTGTTGAAGAATTTGTTCAAAAAATTAAACTTAACTCTTTGGAACCAATCTGTTCTAGAAATCTAGTTTATTATTCTGTTAAACAATTATTCATCTTTTATGATTCGTTGTTTGTGAACCAAAAAGAAGTGTAGCTTGTCTTAATAATTGTTTTGTTCTGTCCAATTTCCTCTTTTTTCACAATGATTTTATTGATGCGAAACATCCAAATGGTATTAATAAGATTTAATTGTACCTAGCCAAAATTTGCGTGTCGCGAATCTCACAAATCGATTAGCAATGACTAAAACAGCGAAAAAGACATTCCTTGGATCGAACCAAAGTCGTCGCTAGGGGTTGATTCTATTCCAAAACTCAAACTCTTAATTAATGATTCTAGCTATTTCGCTTCAGTCTCAAGCAGATTATAATTTTTTAAAAATGAGGATTATAATTTTTGTATGGGATTATTTAAAGATTATAATCTGTGGGAGCCTTGATTTCGCTTTATTTGTCCTTGTCAAACTTATTAGAGTCAACTATATAGTTTAATAACACTATCGATCCTTCGTTAACTTACTCTCGTCTTTAACAAGGAATATTCCTGGTCTACAATATTTAAATTGCCAAATAAATTCATAAATTTCCCAAATCCATCTCAAACAAGGACTTAATGTAATGTAACACTTTGTAATTCCACAATACACATAGCTTCTCCATAATAATTTTTTAATTCATTCATTAAACAACAGAACGGGACAAAAAAAAGTTGTTTCATTCGAAAAATTTCACAATTTTGTATCCTCAGTCTGTGTTATAAAATGTAAAACGTAAAAATGTACATACCATAAAAATACACATATCCTCTGGAATTTCAGCATAAACAGCAACAACGGAAAAAGTGAACATCCGAAATACAAAAAAAAAAAAAAATAAATAAAAACCAAACCGAAAAAATATAATTTTGGCTTTTCCGTGATATGTGCAGTGTGTGTGAGTCGCGAGAAAAACTTTTATCGGCCGATTTTTATGCCTCCATTTCATCTCACGAAGAGATAAATGGTGCGGGATGAATTGTTTATTTGGCGAGGATTTTTTTAAAACCATTTCATGTCCATCAATAGATTGTATGCAGTGCGGCGTTAAATTTTTTTTACTCCATTACCAATTTTTTTTTTCATCATCATCCTCAACTTATTTTCGCCTCTTCGGCGTAATGTTGGCACACACTGATGTGAACCAACAAAGCCACATAACATTCCGCAGGATATTCATTCATGGTTATTTTTTTTTAACTCCAACCTCCTCACTTTTCTCATTTTCATTTTGATTTCAATTGACATTTTTGCGGATATGCCTCAAATGATGCTCTCTTGTGGATGCGAATGTAAAAAAAATTATTTTCTGTGTTTCATCATTCAAAGATTCGTCACAATTTGATTGTTGGTTAAATAATGGATTGACATTAAGGCATGCAGCGATATTTGAGAGCGAGCAATTTTTAGTGTAGAATGGACAGTTTGAGTGCTCTTATCCGAATTGTTATTGAATGAATAGAGAATGTAATTAATTGATCAATTGTGTTTGAATATTTTTTTGGGGTGAATCTCGAGGTTTGAAATTGTGAATCAAATGATTTTGGATAGTTTTTGGAGACCTTAGTTTAGCTAGGAACAGAATAGAATTTTGTGGAAGTGTCGTTCCAAATTATTCGCAGAATGAACCTAAAAAATCTTCAATCTTGAACTTAACTCTTCTTAAAGTTTCCTTCATTTCATATTAAAGTGTTGTTAAAAAATTCCATATGTGCTTTACTTATTGGTAAATTGTAAATTGTTATTTTAATCTTCTATAATCCTTCTTGACATGATTCTTAAACTAAAAATAATCATCATAATATTCATTTTCTGAGACTGTCATAATGGTAGAATCAATTGCACTATCTGTTGATGTTGTTTGAATGCTGTTTATATCCGATGATATTGTGTCTGTAGTATTGTCTTCTTCATCTGACGAAATTTCAAGAACTGAATCTGCTTGAATCGATGATTTATTCGAATTTACAGACGACTGAAATGAATTTGGAGATGATTGAACAGAGCCAGGAGACCACGATTGTACAGTATTTGGAGACAACGATTGAACAGAATCTGGAGTTGATGTACGAATAGAGCTTAATCTCGAAACTGATTCTGGTGACATAAATAAAGGTGGACTATCCATAAATTGAACACTCGGAACTGATTGAATATTTCTCAAAGTTTCATAAACATGTTCGATGCATTGATCTAAATATTCAGGTGTATTATAGTTAGGTACCTTTTCAGGCTTGATGTGAAGCTTTGTTATAGGCTTGAAATACCTAGAAAAGTCATTTGGTGGAAGTTCGTCAGGAATTTCTGTGTTTAAGGCAATTGCTGTTTCGTAGCACCAACAACGAGATACATTTTTGACTGTATATCCTCCACCGCCTATAAAATTGAAAATATAGTCTTTAAATCTGTTAATTTCAATCTCATTACTCACCCAACAAGATCAATGGAATGTTATATCGTCTCATAAATTCCACACATCTTCCATGTCCCTTTAAAGTCAAATTAAAATCCCCAAGTCGATCACCAGCCAATGAATCAGCGCCACATTGAAGAACAATGACAGATGGGTCATACACTTCCATAACTTTTATGATTACAGGAATAAAAATCTTCTCATAGTCATCGTCATTCAATCCAGCTTTTAATGGAACATTTATGGAATAATATTTTCCTTTTCCAGCTCCAATGTCATTAAATCCACCAGTTCCGGGAAAGAATTCATCTCCAAAACGATGAAAACTTACAGTCATTACACGATCAGTTGTAAAAAATGCTTCCTCTACTCCATCCCCGTGATGTACGTCTATATCGATGTATAAGACTCTTTTATGGAACTTTAATAGTTCTAAAATACAAAGTACGATATCATTGACGTAACAAAATCCCCTAGCTTCTGCTTTCTTTGCATGATGTAAACCACCAGACCAGTTTATAGCAATATCTGCATTGCCTAATACGATATTTGCGGCAGCACTTAAAGATCCACCTGAACTGATTTGTGCCAAATCGAAAACTCCTTTAAATACTGGGCAATCATTTTCTTTCGTTCCAACTGAGAATCGTGTAGTTAATTCCTTTACTTCATTTGATATGAAGCCCTCATTGATGTTTTTCAAAAATATTACATAATCGTCAGCGTGAAAGTTAAACATATCTTCCTTTGAAGCACGATATGGACGATAAATTTTCATTTTCTTGTATAATCCGTATTTCATGATTAAGTTATGGGCCATTACAATTCGAAATGGTTTCATTGGATGCTTCTCGCCAAAATAGCTCTCTCCAATTGCAGCTATAAATGGGAAATTAAATTCATTTTTACTGGATCTTGAATATTGACAATTTTTAACCTTTTGGGTGATATATCTCAGTATTCTTTGAACTTTTTATACTTACCGTCATAAAAATAACAAACTTTCTTGTTGTAATGCTCTCTAATTGTTGCCATTATAGCTTAATTAATAAAATTGTGTTTTGTGACAAATATTAGGCGGTAGAAATATTTTTTAACGAAGAATGAAGCGAAAAAAGTGATGCAGAAATTCAAATTTGAAATTTTCGTTACTGATTTAACGAAGATAAAAGTGAAAAGTGAAGATTTGAATTTAGATTTTCCGTTGAAGGTTGAAAGTGTAAATTTAGTAAAAACGGTGAATAATTGATTTTTAAAGTATTGAAAAAATCATTTTAAAGCATCTAAGTTTGTTGAACATTAGAAAATAGAACAAAAAGGCTTAAAATCCATTTAATCCCTACCTCAATTTGCAAATTATTCCTTAAATCTTCAATATGCATATGATTTAATACTATTTATTCAATTAAAACACGTTTTACATCACATTTTCAATTATTTACATCCCATTCCATTTCTCAAGAAATACAATTAAATCAATTCCTAGTTAAACATGCATATATTAATCATCATGAGACGATAATTTAGATATCATCTAAATAAATTCAAATGCAAATGCCATATCCAGCCGACCAATATCCTTCATGCGAATTGTATGCATTGCAAAGTGATTAAATGCAATTATAATTGTTAATTTAAATATCTTTGCTCATCATCCTCAAATTACGACATTTGATATGAATATAATCGTGAACGTGTGGGGGTGTTTGAAGTATTTCAATTTTGAAAATTCCCAACACCGCTCCTCATGCCATTCATTCCTATTTATAGCAACATTATTTGACCAAAATATTTGCGAATGTGTCAGTTGAGAATTTTCATAAGTTGAGATTTTTGCATATAAAGTGCAAATCAGTATGTTAGGAAAAATAGTTTTCTCCTAATTTGCGTAGCAACAATGAAAATGGGCAATAATAAATATTATGATGTTGATTTCGAATCCCCCATGCATATACAAAAATTTCTAGTTCCTCATACCAAAACTCTTTAAACAGTATTGGTTGTGCAGTGGAGGGGGGGGGGGGGGGGGTAGTAGGTTAAAAAGTTAAAAAAAACATACATTAAATATTAATATTACGTGAATAAAGTGATTTACTGTGGTTGAGACGCCCCTGCTACATCCCTGCTTGCTGTATGTTTATATAGAAGCCATCATCAACTATCATAAATATTTCCTCGAGCATAATATTTGGGGAATGTTTTTGGGTTGAATATTTTTGTCGACAAATGCGATATGTAGTCCTTACTGCAACATAATTTTCATCAGTCAATGAGAGAAAGTGTTGAAACATCCTGAATGATGGATGCGTCATGCATAACAACAGAAGCACATCACACGCCTTTTCCATAATTTACTACTTGATGCATTTTCAGTCATTTTCAACCACACACATATACACACATACTTAGGGAAATATTTTGTTTATATTCCGGAAAAATCATCAGCAATAATAGCAACAAAATAACTTGTGAAAATGCCTTGTGATGATGATACGATAGCAACAATATTAAATTTGCGTAAATGTTGCTACTTCTATCAACCAGTGTTTTGCTTATGCACTAAACTAAACTCTTGTGTCTTGTCTATTTGCGTAGACATTTGTTTCTCACATAGTTGTTATCATCTGTGTACATTTTTGGACTTTCATTGATGTCTATAATATGGTTAGATGTAGGTTACGTTGTCACTTGTTTAGAGGTTTCCTATTGTTGTATATACAACTTGCATTTTAAGGATTAATTCCTTCCTCTTCTTCCATTGTCATCGTATTATCGTTTGTATAGCCTTCATCTCTCGACTCTCTTTTAAGCGAGCATTTCGAATTAATCTGTGACACTTCTCTTTACTTTTCTATATCCGTGGAAGTTTTTGCATACGGTTAATGGTGTTGTTGTGAGATTTTTGGGGTTAAATACGCTGGATTTAGTTAAAGAACGTGAATTTTCTGTTTTTTGGACGTTGTTTATGAGAATTTTTTTTATTTCTCCCCAATTTATATTTTAATTATAGATCTTGAATCTTAATATGCTGAAGCATGCAAGATTAGTTTTGAAAAAGCTGATTATTGCGATATTAAACAATTTTGAATCAAAAAACTTAAAGTTCGCCGCTCAAATTCACATAATATTCCCACAACGTAAATCCATATCCATCTACAAAGTAATCGTGGATGAAATGAATAACTTTTGCGAAATATATGGCAAATTATTCACCTGACTCAACTCGATTATGTGTGAGAAAAATGAAATTTAATGTATTTTATTTTCAACAGATGTACATTAAACATGCATATCAAGTGACATTCATATGGAAGCTGTAGACATAGAATAGTGAGGAAAAAGTTATAAAACAGTGAGAAAGTTAGTCTTGATAATTAAAAATGCATTTAACGGGAAATAGTGGAAATTCTGGCACGACGGGCAGCACAAACACGTCGACTAACACTTCAAGTAACAATAGTAGTAATAATAATAATAGTACGAATAATGCAAGTGGCTCGACAAGTAACAACACAAATAATACTAATGGAAATAATAGCAGTAATTCCTCATCGAATAATAATAACAGCAACAACAACAATAATAATAATAATAGTACTACTAATAACAACAATAACCAGCCCCTCACACCTGAACAAATTCTCCAAGAGACATACACAAAAATGACATCAGACATTCTTGCGGAGAGAACATTGGGTGATTTCCTATCAGAACATCCGGGTGAATTAATACGAACCGGTTCACCACTATTTGTATGTACAGTTCTTCCAGCACACTGGCGATCGAATAAAACATTGCCAGTTGCATTTAAAGTTGTAGCACTTGGTGATGTAAATGATGGAACAATGGTCACAGTTCGGGTGAGTTCAATTAATCCACCATTGAATCAGCCAATTCTAAAGTTTTGACAAATAATGAAATTTCCAGGCCGGAAATGATGAGAATTATTGTGCAGAGCTTCGAAATGCAACGGCAGTGATGAAAAATCAAATTGCAAAATTCAATGACTTAAGATTCGTTGGGAGGAGTGGAAGAGGTGAGTCTTTATTGTAATCTTATTATCACCACTTATTTAATGCCAAAGCAACCTCCAAGCAACATCTTGTGACAAGTTATAATCCTTTTCTTCAACAACCAAACCCCTACGGTATTTTTTCTTTAATACTCAGATCATTATCAATGCGTACATCTTTTCCCTTTCACTTAGAGGCAATGACGAGGCAATAAATTCATTTCACTGTAAGTGATTCTCCTGTTGCTCCTTTTCTTCCTTCTTATTTTTTTCTTATGAGGGAGAATTTTTTCCGTCTTTTGAAAAAAAAGGATTTTTATTTTCTTGACTCGGCATGGGGGAATTTTGTTTACTGAAAAAATCAAGATATTCTTTTTTCTATGGGAATTTTTATTTTGCTGCTTATTGAGAGGCAAAAAAAAGAGCGACGGAAGGGAAGAAATTCTTTATTTACTAATTGAGACATTGGTTTACAATAAATAAGTTTTTCTCGGGTTTAGCTCTCTTTAATACATGATTTTTTGTTGATTTCTTAAACATGGATCGCACTTAGAAAACTTTTATATTCGAGACTAGCACAAAAAACTTCAGAAATCTCCCAAAAACTCTAAAAATCTTTTAGACATTCATAAATATTTAATCATAAACTTATCAATACATCAATTTAAAATGATTCGAATCACTCAATTACTCTCTATTTCCTTTTTCAAATCATTATTAAAAGCTGAAGCTCTTTATGAAAATTAATGCGCAAATCCTCATTGATCCTGTGAAATTTATACAAGGAATTATGTTCGATTTATTTTTCGACTCACTCCTACAAAATTTCACTTACGGTTTTTCCATTAAATCTCATAAATCAAGCACTTAATATCGTTGAAATATGTTAATTTACTTCGGCATTTGAAAAATTCATGTTTCTTCGATTTTGTTTGCATAGAAATGTTTTGTGCGGATTTAATTAAGATAATATGGTTTGTGCTGTTGTTTTGACAAAATTCTCAAGGTTTTGAAGCTTGAACTTGCTATAACTAAATATGACACTGTTAAAGATGCCAAAAAATTGATGCAGAATTTAATTTCTGATTTGCATCTATTTTAAAGCTTTCAATTCCTAAATGCTTTCTTATTCAACTTTTCATCAAAACTCAATAACTCAATTCTCATTTCATTTAAATTTTCTAATAAATTCAAAACTGAATATTACAGTGCGTGCCTTTTAACAGCAATTCAAACATTCGCTAGATTTTAATTTTTCACTTTTACCCCAATTTCCTTTAATATTCCCGTGTTCAATTGAAAATGTGTCTCGACGACGGAGGGAGTTGAAGGTTTGAGTTTGATAATCTGAAAACAAATAAGCACATATGTGGGCTTAGTATAGAGAAGTACCCGGATAATATGAAACTGAAATTGTGTGTAACTTTACGATATTAAAATATTTGTTTATTAATGGCTGCATGATTGGAATTTATAGGTCTCTTATTTCGCTTTTTCATAGCAGATATTAATAAATTTTTCTTTTCAACATCCAACACATACGAACGAAAAGCTATAAAAATGAGATCGAGAAAAATTTTCATTTGCTACATTTTTTATTATTTTAAATTTTTTCTTTGTCTATAGACGCAAATTGAGAAGAGCCAATAAAGTTTTATAAAAATCAATAATACGGATTTCAAATTTTAATTAAATCGAATTTTTTAATTTCTCTTCAGAATTTTAACTTTGCTCAATATATTCAAAATAATGATTTCAACCTTAATTTTTCTCATTCAACCACAATTTTAAATTATTTTTCAAAATTTACAGCACATATCCACATCTCTTTGTTTTAATTTTCAATGCAATATATTTTTTTTTCTCTCAATGTTAAAAAAATTTGAAAATTGCAATTTTAATATTTCATATGAAATTATTTTCGATTCTCGTTGCCACGATAACAGCATATAGCAAATACAACAGAATAAGCAGAAAAAAAAACTAATTAAATGCCAAACAATAATTATTCATTTTGAAAATATAAATTCCATTTTATATTTTATATTTTTTGAAAATTTAATTCAACAAATATTTTGCATTATACGCGTGTATTTATATATTTATTCATGTTTATACAATATATTCATACATATTTGAACGCACAAAAAAGTGAAATGCCAGTCAAGGCAAAAGAAAGTTATGCATTGAGTTGAATTTAGAGAAATTAGAGTGCATTTTTGAGGATATGAATAATCTTGAAAAACCTTTCCTTACTTACTTAATGTAACCATGTTCCTATATGGAGCTTAGGTTACAACAAAATGACTCTGTTGCTGGCCTTGTCGCCGGGTTTTTTTACAAATTCTCTCTCCGCATATTAAGCTGACATTCCTTCATCATTTTCTACGTCTAGTAGCTTAAAGAAACCTATAATATCTTGTTAATTACTAATAAAGACACTCCTGCTTCTTAAAATACTATTGAAATTAAGTAATAAAGCACGTAAAGTTTCACAGACAACTGACATTCTGCCATAAAAATGCACATTCTATAGCAATCACCAGAATAAAGCTGTTTGCAAAAATAATAAAAATAATAAATTTTTCTATTGGAAAAAGTTTCAAAATTAAACATAACACAAATTACATACGCAGCTGCGTTGAATTGCATTTAAAATAAAAACAACACACACAATTTTTTTTTTTGAAAAATTATCGATTTTTCCTTTCACTCCCACGTAATTCGATGTGCACATTTTCTGGTGTGCAATTTTAGCACAATTTTCCTCCATTCATAAGTGCAACCTTAATGTGTCAGCTACCAGTAATTTTTATTATTATTAAATCCAGGCTTTTTTTGTGAAATGACGAAAAATAAATTAAAAACCATATGAGTGCAAAAAAAGTTGCATATATAGGTACACGTATGTATAAATTAATATGCGTATATATAAGAGTGGCCCCTGGGATGTTTAATTATGCTTAATTGATTTTTTTCTCTGCATAAATTATATCCACAAAAATCAGTTGAAAAACAAAAAAATTAATGGAATAAAATTTCTTTTTTTCAGCGATTAATTAAAAAAAAATTGTTTATGACATTTCATTATATTCGCAACAAATAACAATAACAGGGAGTGAAAGGAAAGACATAATAATTATTGCATCGAAAATGAGTGGATGAGTGAGTAAGAGAGATGCTCAGAAATTAATAAATTAAATTTTATTTCCATGGAACTCGCTCTTGTTCCTCTTTTTTGTTTTAAACACAGAAAATGTACTGAATATGAACTTAATTAAAATTTAATGAGTAATTTTAATCGAATTGTGATGTTCGATGAGCTTTTTTTAAAGACATTTTTTTCGAGGATTTTATGAGGGATGGGTAGGATTTCGGTTTAAAGCTTATAATAATATTTTAATTCTAAAAATCAGCAAAAAAAGCTCAGTTCAATTTACAAAAATAACCGCATATAAATTCACTTTGAATAATTTCCTTTAAAAATTAAATCCTTTTGAAATTTTTCATTTCTGGACGACATTTAATCCACATTTAGTATCAATCTTCCTCCCTCTCATCAAATATCTGCTCAGAACCCTCTTTATGGTCAGTTAGACATGTCTATTCTTATGTCGAAAACTCACAAATAGCTACCATACATTCATGTATTTTTATTATATAGATCTAGACAGAACGAGATGAAAAAGAACCCAAAGAACTAATTGTGGTCTTTTCTTTAAATTCTGCAGATGATACACTCCATCCCCTGAGCCCCTTTTCTTTAATTTTTTCATATTCTTCTTTCTCAACTGCTGATGAATCGTTTTATATCCTTTTTCTGTGTTTTAATTAAACAACAACACACGTCTTTTTTGAATTTAAAATCTCTCCTCACATCCTTTTGTCATTCATTCTTACTTTGCTTTTCTTTTTTCTTGTGTCTTTCAACAATTCTTGTTTTTTCATTCAGCAGGAAAGAGTTATGTTGTTGTGTACTTCATCAAAAGAATTTTATTTGGTACTGTTAAAACTTTAGCATGGAATTTTCTAGAGTTTGTGAGCTCTTTGTCGATTTTGAAAGAGTTTTTTGAAGGATATGATTTTTCTCATAATTTTTGATTGAATATTTTGAGAGGGAATTGATTTTTTTGGGAAATTTGGACCAATAGAGAGTTTATGTATATCTGACTTCTTCTGATAGCATCACTAGTTCAGCCAACCTTTCAAATTAAATAAGACCAAACTCAAATGCGTCTTTATTAAGCTTTCATCAATATCTCTAAAATCCTTCCTAACTTTTTCTCACACACTACACGTTTCCATATATGCATAAGTACTTAAACATATTATCCTTTATGGATAAAAGGTGAAAAGAGATGAAAATAAAGAAATGAATGAAAGAAAAAGCAAAAGAGGATTGTTCATTTATACCCCTCATATATTTTGCATCTCATACCAAACACAACTTATGTTAATTCCAGGAAAAAGTGAACTGAAGAAACGAAAGAAAAGCATTTGTTTAATCATGTGTGTGCGAAAAACAATGATGGCAAATTTAAATGAAAATAATGTTAAGCAATTTTTCTCTTTTCTTCGTTTTAATTTTTTTGTTGTTTAAGAGGAGATGTTGGATTTAAATGAAGTGGGAAATGAGAAAATGGAATTAAAATAAAGTCATAAGAAGCAGTTTTTGTGAGGATTAAGACTAATAGAGGGGGAAGGGAAACCATGGCTGGGCAACTTTACTGTCTAAATTCAATGAGAAATTGACAAATTTTTCAAGTTTCTCTCAAATTGTAACCAAAACAGAAGTCGAATCAATTGGAAAATTATCTTGCTTGAGTCAAATTGACCAGCTCATTTTCAACAAAATTCTCCCAAAATTTAAATTAATGTGATTTTGAGCAACTTTTAAATAACTTAACTCTTCATTATTCCTACAAACAAAATAAAAATATTCAAATTAAGAAATCTGACGCTATTTGTAAAAATTCGAATGAATAAATTAAATAATTTGTAATTAATTTCATTCTTTTTTACCC